ACCGACAGACAAGCCCGCACCTTATTCCACTGCCAAACACAGCGCCCTTATGAAAATGTACTTTCAATCTACGGGGGGAGAAATCAGCTCCACCGCTCATCCCTAAAACAAAATAGCCTATAAATGCCGACCAGCCCCACTGCCTTGTAAGGAATGATCACTGACAACTAGAGTTCCTATTCAGCAGGCTAATAAGAATAATTATAGCCAGGGCAGGCATTAATCAGCTTGGCAGATACAGGAATTCTGTTAACAAGGCTGAAATGAGTGCCAGGGAATCTCTGAAGGCCACAGCACTTCAAAGACCGTTAAAGCTGGATGCGTTCACTAGGATTCCTGCTGCTGTGTCCCCCTCCAGTGTTTCCTGGAGGAGGCTGCTTTGTGGCCCCTGTCCTCCGAGCAGGCACGGTCACCTGCCGGGGGCGCAGGGCGGCTGCGAGGTGCATGCTGGCACAGCCCCTGCCTGCACTCTGCTCACCCCACATCTTCCCCTTCCCAACACATCAGGCTTGTTCACCTGAACTAATCTCTAGCAACACACGGCCCCAGGTGGCGGGGCCCATCGGTCCATTCTCCTTAGCAGAGGCAGAATGCAGTGGCGATCAAACCCTGGCTCTGCCGGGGGGATCGGTAAGGTCTGTTAGGTGACTTTTCTGCCGGGGGCATCGGTAGGGTCTGTTAGGTGACTTTTCTGCTGGGGGCATCGGTAGGGTCTGTTAGGTGACTTTTCTGCCGGGGGCATCGGTAGGGTCTGTTAGGTGACTTTTCTGGGCATCAGCTTCCCAGTCTGTAACGAGGAGATAACGGTGCCTTTCTCAAAGTGTTGCTGTGTGGAAGAAATAGCAGAGTATGAGGAAGAGCCTGATGCTTGCCATTCACACTATAAATAGCAGCGACTGCTACTCTGGGCCTGTTAGGTGCGGAGCCCCTACAGAAGCTATGAGAAAAGAACAAAGAGTCAGAACCCAGGCAGACATGCGTGGTACCTAAGAGGCGGTCACACCTGGGCAGGAGGGCAGGCACATCACCCTCCATCCTTCATCACTCACACGCAGACTGCCAGCCGGCCCCCTAAGTCCCTTCTTCCATGGCAGCTGGCACATGGCTGCCAGGCTTCTCTGCACCTCCCAGCTTCCCTTGCAGCTACTCTGGCATGGGACAATGGAGCAGATACAGAACGGATGTGCGCCACTGCCAAGCGTGGGTCACGAGCCACCATCCGGTTTCCTCCACACTTCCCCCCTTCCTTCTTCATGGTGAGGTCAATCCCCAAAGAGATCTTAGAGAGCACGGCCCGAGACAGCACCACTGCCGGCAGCCTGGGAGCCAGCCCGGCCACGTGTGGCAGGGGCCCCACCCAGCTCTCCTTCTGAAGCATCCAGGTGGCCATGTTGTAAGACACTTCTATCATCTGCACCGCTCTGCTTTGAGGCTCAATGTTAGGCCACTCTAACCTCCCTAAGCAATAAGATACCCTTCTACAGCATTTGAATGTTAAAAATATAAATGTAATGCTTTTGTCATTAATGAATATTTTAATAGATTTGCAGAACAGAATAGAAAGACATGAAGAGAATATGCTAATCCCACTCCACAATTCCTCTTCTACTCTCCAGTTCAGGCTGCACCCCAGTTGGGGACTTAATCCTCTTCAGATACATCACCCTGGTGTGTTAATCTCATCCCCCTGCAAACTTTTAGTGGCTACCCATTTCCCACAGACAAAAGGACACCTTTAAATGGATTCAATCAGCCGATAGCTATCAAGCACCCACTATGTGTTACACATTCTATTAGTAACAGCGAGTCCATGAGCCCAACAAGGTTCCTGTCCCCAGGGGAGGGACTGAGACCAAGAAAGTATACAGTGAAATAAATAAATGCTATGCTGAGAGAAGCACAGGCTGCCCGACAGCACCCAGCGGGCCAACAAATCCAGCCCGCGGTCCAGCCTTCTCAGCTCAGCCTGCAAAGCCTGCAAGACGCCCTCTACACCAAACCCACCTTTCAGTTTGCTCCCCCATTGTTCTACCCGCCCCCACCACCTACCTCCAGTTGCAAGAAACTCACATGCCATTTCTGAATGAGCCCAGCTCTTTCCCTCATCCACACTCCATGCTTCTCCCTAGGGACCAGAATGCTCTTCTATCCGTTCTTTCAGAATTCTAATTATCCCCAAGGCTCAGCTCAAATGTCACCCCCTCCAGCATAAGCAACCCCAACCTCCCAGTCACAATGAATCATCCTCTTCCTTGCCTCCTCCCCACACCTGGTTTCTACGGCAGGTGTTTCATTCCGTCTTAGAGTCAGTGGTTTTATTACCTGTCCATTCGTCCCCACCCACCACTCAGTGAGACACTGTGTGTGCCCTGCATGTGGCTGGGACGCCCAGGATTGATCACATTGTGGCGGACAGTCATTCAAATGCCGTACTGAATGCATGGACGGCACAGGCAAAGAGAGAGTAGACAGGTCACTCAGCATCACCTGTCTGAGCCAGAAAGGACACAAGGGGCAGCATCTTCTTGGAGCAAAAGCTTAAGAAACCTGTGGGCAAAGGTGGGCGCCCCAAACACGGCCCTCTAGAGGGAAAGCAACAACCTTAGAGGGGAGACTGGAGGGAGACATCCACCCACCAGGAAGACGTCAGACCCTGTGCGAGTGAGTGGGTCCCCACCAGGACCTGGGCTGAGAGAGCCCGCGAGAGAAGCAGAAAGGATGGGAGCAGCCACAGAACGGAGAGACAGGGTGAACTCACAGGTGCAGGAGAGCAGTGATACTGGGCGCACACCCAGGTCGCACCACAGGAGGAAAGATGATCTGGCTTATCAACATTTTAAGTTGCAGGAATCAGTACAGTGCCAAGGCGGTACACAGCAGGGAGCCGTCCCAGGGGTCAGGCTGAAGCCAGGGCAAGTGAGACTGAGAGACACCAACAGGTCAGAGAGCCCGCCGGTGAGAAGGCTCTGGCTGGTGACACCAGACAGCCCCTGCGCAGCCAATAGGAGACGTCCAGCCAGCCAGAAGCACTGCTGTACAAGGCAGATTTCTCCACTTCTGCTGGCTTCACCAGCCTCTCATTGCCCCACTCCCATACCTCAATTACCCATTCTTCTCCAACTCCCACCTTTCATTGCCCCACTCCCATACCTCAATTACCCATTCTTCTCCAACTCCCACCTTAGCCCACCTGCCTTCTTTCATGTTGATTTGCAGCTACCTGAAAGGTGAGATCTTGCATCCACTGGTTTACTCCCCAAATGCCCACAATAGACAGGGCTGGGCCAGGCCAAAGCCAGGAGCCCGAACCTACATCTGGAACTTCCACATGTGCGCCAGGAACACAAGCACTTGAGCCATCTTCTGCTGCCTCTCAGAGTGCATTAGCAGGGAGCTGGATTGGAAGCGCAGCAGCCAGGACTGGAACTGGCACTCTGATATAGGATGCAGCTGCCCCAGCGGGTAGCTTAACCCACTGTGCCACAACACCCAGCCCCTATCACATCCCTTAACTGGTGTGCAGGCTGGGAACTTCACCACCCTAGGGGGACTCATTCACCCAGGCTATAAACTCCTAGAGTTGCACAGTACACAACCTGTGCAACCATGGGTCGCAGACACAAAAGCTGATTAATGGGTACAAACTATCACCAGCAACATGCAACAAATGCAGAACTTAGAAGCTTCCCGACATGAAGGAGAAAGATTAAAAGCTCTAGAATCAGAGACCACAGACAAGGTGCTATGAAACCAACGAGAGATCTCAAAGTTTTCTGCACACAGGTTGCTGGATGAATTCTCTTAGGAAGTGAGTTCCAGAAAACGGCTCAGAGGCAAAGGAAGAACACACAGCAGCAGCCAGACAGGCTGGTGGCAGGCAGCAGGAGGCACAGCCCGGGGTTGGGGCAGGGTGGGTCCTGGTGCCAGCAGGAGGGGAGGGGCTGTGAAAGCTCTCCACTGGGCCCCTGGGACCCTAAGCCATTTAGCATGTGCTCAGCTGGGAAGACACCACCCGCCATGCAGTCTGTCACAGACTCAGACCTGCCCTCTCTGGGGGCTTGGAAGACACCCACCGACCAGGTCACAGGATCTACCTCGCCCTGGTTGCCACTGACCACAGGGATTCAAGGATGTCACAGAAATGGCAGGGTCAGCCGCAGCTCAGGTAGGCACGTCCTAGGCAGATTTCTGTGGCTGGGACCGAAACCCACGCTATCCACGTGAAGATGGTGTCTGTGCAGAGAGGGAATGGAAAATGGAGAGGGGAAAAGCCCACGAAAGATTCCTTGGGTGGGGGGAGGGCGCCGGGCCGAGGCGTCCAGAGGCACCAGGGGCTTCCGGAGCGGGGTGGGAAGGCAAGGGACAGTCAGGGAGGAAAAGTAACAGGTAGAAAAAGTTGGAGAGGCCGGGCTCTCCTTGGGTCTTTGTGTACAAACACGCAGCGAGGCAGCTCCAAGAAACGCTCAAAGGCAAGGCTGAGGCAGAAGATCGAGGCGCGCCTGGAATGACGGCAGGGCTGGCACAGCCACCGTCCCCGCACGCTCCGGCCGCCGCGACCTTCGCAGAGCAAGTTGGGGACTCTCCGGCTCGCCCGGAGCCCGCCCCTCGGCAAGGGTCCGCGAGCGTCCGGGGTGCTGCGCCCGGCGCGCCCATGGCGGGCAGACCAAGGGCTCCGATTCCCGCCCCCCCGTGCCGGGGACGCGCGCTGGGACCGCGGGCACCTTCCGGGCCACGAGTTCAAGGTGAGCCGGGCTCCCGGCGGCCAACAGGTAGGGCGGGCAGAGTGAGGGCCGCCGGCCACGCGCCGCTCCCCGCGGTGAGGTGTGGGGAGGCTCGGCTCAGCCCGGTCCGGCCCGGCCCGGCCCAGCGACGTCGGCCACTCCCCGCCCGGCCGGGTCTCCCGGGAGCCGCCCGGGCACCCTGGGCGCCCCAGGCCGCGCGCCGCAGCCGCGCCCCGCCAGCCCCGGTGCCCCGCGCCCGCCGAGCCCGCGCGCACTCACCCAGCCACAGGAGCGCCAGCAGCAGCGGCCTCGGCGCCAGGCGCCCCATGCTCGCGCGGCGGAGCTGCTCGCCCCCTCCTCCTTCTTCCCCGCCGCCTCTCCTCCTCCTCCTCCTCCAGCTCCGGCTGCTCCAGAGTCGGCGCTCCTCCGCCTGGGCCGCGCGCCTGCTCCGCTCTCCTCGCGAGCCGATCAATCCCGGCGCCGGGGCGTACGTGCGCCCGGGGCTCCGCTCGCGCCCTCCCGCCTCTCACACGCCCGCCGGCCCTCCCTCCTGCAGCCGGCCGGGCCCGGGAGCCGGCCCGCCGATCCCAGTGTGCAGCCCCGACCGCTCCGCGAAAGCAAAAGGGAAGAGCCGCAGCGCCCGCCCGCCCGCGCCTCCCATCCGGCTCTCTGCCAGCAACAAACACAAACTTTCCCAAGCCCCTCCCCGCTCCAGGTAACGGAGGAGGCGCCGGGGCCACCCGCTTAAAGGGGAGGAGGCGTCGCAGCCCACCCAGCCCTCCCCTCGGGCCCCCGCCCCCACGAGAAACTTTCCTCCGACCTTTAAAAGTTGGTCTGGGCAGCGTCGTCTGGAAATCCCACTGCCCCGGCCCCAACCCCCAGACGCCCTGCGTTCCCCCTCTGAGGTCACCCACGCGTGTCGCCATGAGCCCCCCAGCTCCCGCCCCGAGCCGGCTGCTTAAAAAAAAAAAAAATTCCTAAGCCAGGACTGAGAGGGCGGGAAGGCCTCGAGGGCAGGGCCACGGGTGCAACCTCTGTGTCCCACAGGGCGGTGCCCAGGGACTGGCTTCGAAGGGGCAGGGGCGAAGTCGGAAAGCGCTCTCCGTGCCTGGGCCCCGACCCCGTGGCGCTCCTTGGACCAGCTTCCCACAGATGAGCGCTCCCACGGAGCCCGCGTGTCCGCCCGGGCTGCGTGTGGAGCGAGCTTCGAAGACTTCGTGTGTGTTAAGTGGACACAACCACTTGCCAGAAGTCTCTTTCTTACCCACAGTGGAGTTCTGTGCTTCTGGTTTGAATACAAAAGACCCCGCGGTATTGAGGTTCCAAGTTCAAAACTTCACAAGGCTGATTCAGCAGGACAAGGAGCAGCACTGGTGCCCACGGTTGGAGTCATCACAGCTTTTATTAATGTGAGGGGAAACAAGTCACAGATGCCCTCCGCCCCAACTGGCTGGGAACACGGCTTTCACTCTGAGGCATCCTTTTCCCACCAACAAGCCTTATCTGAACCAACAAGTGCGTGATTAGCTGGGTGTGAACCCTTCGGAGAGAGACTCGCACAACTTCATTTCCGGTGGTGCCACAGTGTTAATGTACCTAATGCCACTGAATGGCACACTTTAAAAGGGTTAAAATGGTAAATGTTGACGTTGTGCATGTTTTGCCACAGTAAAACAAGACTTTCCTAAGACTGTTCACCCAGGCTGTAATTCCTTTTCCCTTCCCATCCTGATTCTCTCCTAGAATTTCACAGGGCAGTTTTTATTATTTCATTCCATCATCCTCGAATGCAAGCCGTATGTTAGGCCTTGCAGGGTGCTGGAGCTACAGAGAAGCTTAAGGCCTGGCCCTGTGGAAGCTCAGATTTCGGCTCGTCCATCTTTCTCTTTCTTAACCACCCGGAGTGCTTCACGTCTGGGCTGCACATTTGCGCACTTGATCACGTTCAGTTTAGCATGGCTCAAATGCTGCTCTCATCCCACGGATAAGGCAAGGGCCTAACAGTCTGGCACACTCATCTCGCATCCCTGGTGCTACTGCAGGGTAGATCTAAGAACAAAACAAATGCAAGGCTGGGAGTATGAGTATGACTGGCACATAGTAGGTCTTCAGTACATGTGTATAGAATGCATTCACGCTGGATGCTGGTACTACAGCTGTGAGTCAGACCATTCTTGCTCTTCAGGTGCCTGGAGTTTGTGAATCATGACTTAGTAGTATGACAGCATGTTCCAAGCACAGGCATGACACAAGGGAGTGGTTGCCAAAAACAAAAGAGTTTCACAACGAAAATGTCTTTAAAGATCAGTAGGTCAAGGCAGACATTATGGAGTGTCAAGGTCTTTAGCTGTGGTATGAATCTAGGGATGAGTTCACAGTCGGTGTTGTATATCTAATGTGCTAGGGATTCTTCTCTTCGCCCACTACTGTCCCCAGGTGTTATTAAATTAATGGTGCATCTTACAGCCATGGAAGTAACAGTGGTTAACAGTTGAAATGGTAAGAATAAATAAGACTATCCAGGCAAGGCAAATAGAATGAGGCCTGAAGTGGATACCTGTTGGTGGCGGGTAGTCACCTGTGTCGTGAGTTAAGCAAAAAGCCGTTTTTGTAGCAGAAGACAAGCATAAATGAGTAACCCCAGACAGCCGGCCACAACCACCATACCTTTTGCGTAGCCTGGACTGCTAAAGGATAAAAAAATGCTTCTACCTAAAGAAAGAGGGCACCTGCAACAGTGCGCCAGCGCAATTTGTTAATTCATGATTCTGGAATTTGATGAAGCTTTTATTATGAGAGAGATTCATTTGCCAGGGTGAGTAAACTCCTATACGGGTCAGACTTTTGCCCCAACCAATTGTTCTCAGTTTGATTAGTCTGCGAGCTTGCCAGGAGCAGGAGAACTCACTCGCTCACTCTCCAATAATTCTTACTAACCCACACCCACTCCCCAGGAGGGTGAATCCCGACGATTTTCTTTAGGGGTGCTGGTCAACCAGCCGTTATTGGCACTTGCCTACACACATCATCTGTCCATCTACAGGTGTTGCCTTGAAAACCCCATGTGGGTCCTCACACTCTCACTCTGAACACGTTTTCCTGCTGAGAGCAGACAAAAACACCACATTATTTAACTTTGAGAATGGAAATGTTAAAAGCTTCCCAAGGAATGAATTTGCTGATTGTTCTAAGGTTAACCCAGGCTTAGTATGTTGAAACTGACAGTTCTACCAATGGCCCTGACCCCTGCTTCAGCAGATTCTCAGAGGAAGGACTGTGTTCCCAGCAACATTTCATTTCATCAGTCATTTTTAAGCAAAGTATCCCTTGTTCTGTGTACATAAATATGTATACATATATGAAGGTACTTCAAAAAGTTCATGGAATTATAAAAGCTAAGTTTACTTTGATGCAAAAAAAAATAAAATCTATGCACAGTTCTTTCATGAGACATATTTTCCATGACCTTTTTGAAGATTCCTTGTATGGAAGGATTTCAAAAATTTTGTGCTCCCCAAATAAACATCTTTTAATTCCATTTGGCCACAAATTTATTGAAGCGCCTTCATATTTCCCCTAGTAAAGTTAAATAAGGATTTACTAACCACAAGGAAATTTAACACTTAATATTAGAATTAGAGAATGAGACTAAGAATTGAAATGGGAGAGGTGGGGGGAAGAAACTTTGATTTCCTGAGAGTGAGAGTCAGTCTGGTGAGGCCACAGAGAAGGTAATGGAATGCCCATCGGACTAGCTTCAGAACAGCAAGGGGCCTCATTTATTCTGAATTGGTTAGGCAGGCCTCTGCTGAGTGCTGGCGCTGCTCTGTGACCTCCCAACTACCCATTCTTTTCATCCGTTCTTTAGCCTGAAAGGGAGATCGTGGGGAAAAAATGTCCTGACAACTGCCTATGATGAGCCCACAGTGTCTCCAGAGCATCCACCCACACTGCAGGCACCCACTTCACACGGGGCTGTTGCTGCAGCCACACAGGGTCAAAACGTGAAAGGGGAAAAGCAGGGACAGGGGCCGGCGCCATGGCTCACTAGGCTAATCCTCCGCCTGCAGCACCGGCACCCCGGTTTCTAGTCCTGGTCAGAGCGCTGGATTCTGTCCTGGTTGCTCCTCTTCCTGTCCAGCTCTCTGCTGTGGCCAGGGAGTGCAGTGGAGGATGGCCCAAGTGCTTGGGCCCTGCACCCCATGGGAGACCAGGAGAAGCACCTGGCTCCTGGCTTCGGATCAGTGTGGAGTGCTGGCCGCTGCGGCTGGCGCGCTGCAGCCACTGGGGGGTAAACCAATGGCAAAAAGGAAGACCTTTCTCTCTGTCTCTCTCTCTCACTGTCCACTCTGCCTGTCAAAAAGAAAAAGAAACAAAGCGGGGACAGGATGAGATGAGGTCTTTGCAGTCAAAGTGTTCTACCAGAGCAAGGCCACGTTATTAGGTGGGAAATGCCCTTGGCCTTGCCCTGGCGGAGCTTGTCTTCAAATGCAGTGTGTCCAAAGAGCTGCGAGATCCAGAGGCCTGGGAGAAGACTGACGCCAGAAGAGCAAAGGCAATGGAAAGGAAGGTGAGCAGAAAGGGAGGCACTGGCCACCGCCATCGTGCGTGGGCATCGCTGGGCTGAGAGAAGCTTCTAAAATGAATAGAGACAGCATGATCCACTGTGAGAAGGAAGGGCTGCCGTGTCGCCGAGGTTAGCAACGGCCGGCAAGGCTACAGGAGGTCCATCTGATTCTCCACCTGCCCTGGCACCCAGCTGGTTCGCTGGGCAAGAGCTCCATCCTGGTTTTCACAAGCAAGCTGGAGGGCAGGGGAATGAGAAAGAGGAAGGAGAGAGTGGGGCGTGTCCTCATCTCCCCAGCCACTTTCTCCCTGCCCTCGAGCTGCACTTGGGGCTTCAGCTGGAATCTTAAGTTCTCGGCACCTTTCAAAGTCAACCTTTCAGTCTAAAATGCACCTACCATGGGCTTGCTGGGTAAAATGCAAGATGGCCAGCACAACTTGAATTTCAGGTAAAAGAGGAATCCTTTTTCAGTATAAGTATGTCCCAGATACTACATGGAGCCCACTTTTACGGAAACCACGTTCCTTGCTTATCTGAAACTCAAATTTAAGTGGGCATCCTATGTCTTTATTTGCTAAATTTGGCAACCCTCATCCAGAGAGGCGTTCCTTTATGGAAATAGGTTCTTCCGAAAGAGGTGGAGAAGAGAACGCTGAGTAAGCTATTTTCAGGTTGTTGTGAAGCTTTGCATGTTGAATGCAGTATGGGGCGGGCATTTGGCACAGCAGTTAAAGAGCTGCTTGGGGTGCCCGTATCTTATATCTCAGGGACTGCTTTGAATTCTAGCTGCTCTGCCTCCAACCTAGCCTCCTGCTAATTTGCTCACTGTGAGGCAGCAGATAATGGTTCAAGAACTTGAGACCTAGAGGGAATTCTGGGCTCTGGAATTTGACCTGGCCCAGCCCTGGCTATTGGGGAAATCTGGGAGTAAACCAGTGGCTGGAAGATATTTCTCTTTCTCTGTCTACCTTTCAAATAGACATGAAGAAAAAAATAAAAATTATAAAGGAGATGTAGACTTGAGTCACTGGGTAAAAATTGCAGGAGATGGAATTGGCCTAGTTTGCAGGAGGTACGTTATTCAAAGGTCTTCAAAAAAATTATGAAAAGTTTGTATTATGAAAAAAACTGCATGATTTCGAAAAATTTTTGCACCAAAACAAGCAGCATAATTCCATTTTCTCATGGCCTTTTTTGAAACACTCACGGACAGTGGTATCGTGGTATCCTCTCTTTTCTGGAAAACATTTAGCCAGAGGTTAAATACCTCCCTTTAAGGGAGGCCATCAAGGAGTCACTGCACGGAGTGGGGGGGAGTGAGGTACAGACAAGCTGGCCTTCAAAAAGGTCCTTTCTAACCTCAAGATTGTGTGATTTATCTACATCTACCCAACTCTCTTGTCTCATCCCTCTTCCAAAGTTCACTGTTGGTCTCTGCTGTGCTTCCCCATGCCCCGATCTAGGGCTGGGCTAGATGTGCACCGCCTACCATCAGAGAACAGAGAAGCTCATATGTAGATGTTGTGGTCCATTGTGAAAAACTGGAATTACCACTCCTGCTGCCTACTGTCCATGGAGAGGGCCTGGATCAATCACAGACGGTCCCTGACTTATGGCAGGTGGATTTGAGATTGTCCAATTTCGCTATGGTGTGAAAGACATTCAGTAGAAACCACATGGGATGGGTCAGCGCATCGCAGGTAAAGCCTATGACGCCAGCATCCCATATGGGCACCTGTTCATGTGCCGGCTGCTTCACTTCCAATTCAGCTCTCTGCTAATGGCCTGGGAAAGCAGTGGAAGATGTCCTGAGTGCCTGGGCCCCTGCACCCACATGAGAGATCCAGAGGAAGCTCCTAACTCCTGGCTTCAGAACAGCCCAGCTCTAGCTGTTGCCACCATTTGGGGAGCAAACCAGTGGATGGAAGATCTCTCTGTGTCTTTCCCTCTCTCTCTCTGCAGCTCTGCCTTTCAAATAAAAAAAAAAAAATCTTGGGAAAAAAAAAAAAACCATATAGCACTTCAAACTTTAAGTTTTGGTTTTTTACCCCCAGACTGATGATGATACAAGATACTCCCACAGCTCTCCGTCAGCCCCACGATGTACTCAACACTTGACTGTAAAACAGGCTTTGTCCAACTGTCGGCTAATGTCAGTGTTCTGAGTATGTTTAAGGTAGCTAGGTTAACCTATTGCAGTTTTGATTTAAGATATTTTCCGTGTGTGCTGAGTTTATGTCTGCTCATCTTACTCCATTGTATACTGAGAAACATCTACATTCCGGAACCGGGCTATCATTTTTTAGGAGGCATCTTCCTGTTTGGATCCATTTCGTAGCTCAATCTCCTTGAGCAAGTCACTCAGCTGCAGGGTGCATTTAGCAGCGTTGTCTGTCTTGCAGGATGTACATTTTACAGCCACTTCATGAGTCTTTTACTGAACGCTTTTTACATCTGCTTCAGCAGAAGCAGGATTGTTACCCTTGCATTAATTTTTTTTTTCCAGCCTAAAACTACTGCACTCATGCTCTATGACGAAGCTTGTGAGGTCTCCATGACCCACTGACCTCCACATTAGATAGCAAAATCACCTTCTGAGCAGAATCCTGGGTATCCCTGAAAACACTGGACGTCCACTTCTGACCTGTCCTGGTACAGCCCCAGCGCGTTCACAAGCGGATGTCAGAGATCTGCCCCAGCTGGGCTGATTGATGGATAGAGCAGGTGATTTTGTGCTTAAGCAACCACCTGGAACAGCTACCCTAGATGATGAGTTCCAACTTACTGCCCTTCCGTATTTTTTAAAAGCTTAGCTGAGGAAAAACAATATTTATGGAAGACTAACTGAAATAAATACAGTCTGAGCATTCTTCCAGCTCCCCTCAGATCTACCACTGAATGATGAATTCAGTAGACCGTCAGTGAGCATAATGCCCGAATATAGCCCACCCGCACCTCTGCAAAGTTGCTTTCACGGAATTGCATTTTGTCATGATGCCATCAGCCTGTCTCGAGGGCTGTCCCGAGAAGCAGCCCGCTGCGGTTTGTCATTGTGCTTCTCAGAAGGACAGGGTCACAGAAGCTGTTCATTGCAACGGCGGCAGCCTCTCTCTTAGGACTCAGGCACACAAACGTGTGCTCTTCCTTAGCGACTGCTTTCCTTTTATTTTCAGGTCTCTGTAAATACTATAATCACTGGTATTTCCCTTTTCATAGTACAGCACTGGTTAGAAAGCTTGTGGCCCAACCTGCGGCTTCTGTCTAGCAATGAATAGGACTTAAGCATAAATTTTGTATAACCCCCCTTCTAGCTCCTTTTTACCTTGCTACCATTGTTTGCCCTCTCCCTCATTTTCCTTCTCCCTCATTTTCATTTCTTTTTTTGTATTCACACGGTTTCAATGTAGGAAGCATTCTTTTCCCACCATCCTCCCTATTATAAAATTCTAGTCCACACCTCCTGCCCTTCAAGAGGCGTTTTAAATTCTACCTCCTCATTTGCAGATTAAATACAATGAGGTAATAATCACAATGAGTTCTGCTTCCAGAGAAAGGCTGGAACGTGATTCGGCTGCATCAGCCCGCAGGACTTGAGGCCCCGTGTGAGGAGGGCACTGCCATGCCCCTCAGGGCACAGGAGCCCCTGGAGAAGGGCACGGTTGCCAAGAGCAGCAGACACTTCACCGTCCCCCCTCCTAACCCTGGAAAAGTGCACCGTGCAGCTGGCTGCACGGGTTGGCAAATATTAGAAGCAGTTTGCTTTCTCTAAGCACACAAGGTTGAGGGGTGGGAGTGGTCTGAGAGTGTTGGGGCAGATGGATGGGAGTTGACCTTCAACTCTATACAGTCAACTGCTCAAAGGGGCTGGGCCAGCCAGCTCTGAGCTCTTGCTGCCTCCACAGAGTCTCTGCTGTCTCCAGGCTCCCAGGGATGCCCTCCATGCTTCTTCACATGGCCAGAGATACTGATTTGGCTGTAAGCCCTGTAGCTGGGACAGGATCTCAAAGAGCAGCAACAGGGAAGAGGGAGAAGAGGCCAGGGGCCAAGAGAAGGCCAGCGAGGTGTGTGTTGTCCAGGTGAGTACAGCCATGGGCATACTGTGGAGGATGTGTCTCAGGTTGTCCCCGGGGCTGTTACTCCCTGACCCTCCCCCTCAGCAACTGAGGTGGCCCCTAGCAACATTAACTCCTCCACGCCTCCAACTTGCACCTGTTTCAGTCCAGCTCTCTGGAGGAGACAGGTACAGAAACCCATGTGGTTGTGTGGCAACCCCAAGCGTGGCCAAGAGACACAAGTGGGGGCCTCTGCTGCAGTGGCTCATGACGCCTCTGGGGGCTCCCCCTGTTTCCTCAGGCTGCCATCCCCCCACGCCTTGTGCGTGCCTCTGGCTCTGCATCTAATGCCTGCGTCTAGCAGTGATGCAGCTCCATTAAACTTCGGGTCCCTGGCATCCAGCACAGTGCCCGACACACAGTAGGTCCACTCAATAAGCACTTCAGCTCCCATTAGAGTAGTTCTACTTTGATCTCTTTTGTACATTGGAGTCCACATATAATTTTATTTGGGGTAAAATATTAATGCGAAACCACTCACTTACCCCAAACCCCTCATTTCACATAGGAGGCACCTGAGGCTCAGAGAACCTAAGTAACTTGTCCAAGATTACATAGTGTATTAAGGCGATTACGGAATATTAAAATGAGTCCACCAAGTACAGCAAATACAGACTTGGGAGCCGACTAGAGTTACAATGTGAATTATTAGCACTTCAAATGGAGGGTATGACCACCTCTGTGCTGGATTTTCAGCAGGAAATTGCTTAAAATAAATTAACTTGGAAAGTTCCTGAGCTCTGATTAAAGAAGTGAATGGCTTGAAAGAAGCTCTCTCTCTCTTCTAGGGAAAGAAATAGGGGCTCAGCGACACATTTCAGGCAATGCACCGAGGACTGTGTATCAGAATGAACTCACCTGACATCTCTTCCTCCAACCTGCTTCTCTGGCCCCCACAGCTGTAGGGAGCGTGGTGCATTTGTTTTTAATGAAAAGTGGGGTCTGGAAAGTACCACAATCTCAATAAATTGTAGTTGTCCTCTGCCAGCCCTCCCTTCTGCCTGACTGCTGCCCTGCCTCCATACCATCCTTTTGCTGCAGCCTCTTGCATGTGTGTGATAAACAGGCATATAAGGCCAGGACAGTGTACGGTTATGATAAAAAAAAAAAGTCTACCACTTCTCATTGCATGTTAAAAGCCAGTGAAGCACTTGATGTTGGTTGGGGCAAGAAGTACTGAGAGTCTTGGGAAATAGTGATTCCTGACAAATGAGAGAGAACCATTCATTTGAATAGACCTACTCATACCAAGCTTTTCTTATTTATCCAGACGTGGGTCAAGAGAGGCTGGGGTAGCATTTCTATGGTCTGTGGCACCATGGCGAAAGCAGACAGCTGCTCCTCATCTGTGTGGCCATTCTCAGACGTTTTCCTTCTGACACTCACCTGAGCCAAATGACCAAAGCAGTGAACTTTTCCATCAAGCAACACAAAAGAGCAGTGAAGAGAACCAGACGTGGCGTCGCCATATGGGGGAACATCTTGGCTCCCCCAGTTGTAAAAGCTCTCTAGCCTCAGGTAAGTTGATTACTTTTCTGGGCCTCAGTCTCCACATCTGCAAAACGGGACAATAATAACGCTTCTGGCAAAGATGTGCCTGGAGATGGCTGAGAAAGGAGAAATGTTTATGTCATTGAAGCTGCTGGATTGTCTCTGGACCTTTACTCTGTCAGCCCCACCGTGGCAGACGAGGAGACGTCTGCTAGAACATGGCCCCAGCTCCACAGGATGCAGTCATCCCTGGGATCAGCTGTCTTGCTGGGGGCTGTGTTTTCTGCATGACTCATGCGCGCTACGGAGTGCGAGCAGAAATGCCAGGTGTGAATTCAATAGGGGGCAAGTTAAGAACAGTTGTGTGGCTTTTTTGTACTCTCTTCCCCAGGCCGCTAGTTGGGGACTGAGGCCTGTGATGACAGAGCTGCTAGCTAGGGGAGGACTAGGAGCCCTGCATCTCCACCCCAGCACCTGCCTCGTGCTGCTATGGCGGGAAGAAGTAAGCCTTGATGGTGCTGGGTCACCGAGAGGTGACACCTACTGTTACCTTCAGGCACACACCCCGTGTCCTCCTTTTTAATGGAACCTCAGTGGCATTCAGGGGTCCTCCCAGCACTGCTGCATGAGGGGTCTCAAAGGAGGCTGGCTCCACCCTCTGTCCCAGTGGATGAATCCTGATTGCTCTACACTGAGCGCTCAGTGTTTGCCACTGATTGGCTTAAGCATGACCATGTGGAGGAAATTCTGGCCCATGAGCTGTGAAGAGGAGTTTTATGTAGGAGGGATTCTTGGGGAAGTCTTCTTTCTCTTCTATTAATGCAACCACTCCAGCTTCCTCATTTATGGATGTATGCACCTTCAAATAAGTTTATTACTTATTTGAAATGCAGAGTTACAGAGAGAAGGGGAGAGACAGAGAGAGAGAGAGAGATCTTCCACCTCCTGCTTCACTCTTCAAATGGCAGTGATGGCTGGGGCTGGATTAGGCCAAAGCCAGGAGCTTGGAACTCCATCTAAGCCCACCACGTGGGTGCAGGAGCCTAAGCACTTGGACCATCTTCCGCAGCTTTCCAGGTGCATTAGCAGGGAGCTGGATCAGAAGTGCAGCAGCTGGGACTGGAAATGTCTCTCACATGGGATGCTAGCATTGCAGGCAGGGCTTGACCCCCTGTGCCGCAATGCTGGCCCCACCCAGCTTTCTTAACATTACTCATTTTGGGGTTGCTTTGTTTTTTAATTTTTAAGATTGATTATACTTTACATATAATAAAACTCAGCAGTTTAAGTGTGTGGTTTGATGGGGTTTGACACATGTGGACAGTCATGTAACTACTACCTCACTTATGATAAAAGACTCACATCTCTCCAGAAAGTTCCCTGGGCGCCTTTGTGGACAGCTCCTCCCGCACACCCAGTCCCAGCCCACCAATGACCTGCTTTGAACCACTGTTGTTTTTCTTTTCCTAAAATCTCCTAAAAATTGCAATGTACAGTTAGGTGACTTCAATCACATAGCCCAGTGCTCTTGAAAGTCAACCTTGGTGTGCTCAGGATCATTCCTTCTTCTCCCGCTGGGGGACTGCAACACAATGTGTTTATCTGCTCACCCGTTGACGCACCCTTGGGTTCTTTCTAGTTTTCGCCCATTAGCAGTAAAGGTGCTATCAACAGTTGAGCGTGTTTTTCTGTGGACATGCATATTCATTTCTCTTGGGAAAATATCTGGGAGTAGGATTTTTAGATCATGCAGTAGAGGTATGCTGAAGTTTATAAGAAACTGTTCAACTATTTCTGGAAGTAACAGGCTGGGGTAATGTTATCTAAAATTTCTAACGGAAATGTAAGAGAATTTCAGTTCCTTGTCAATACTTGGTGTTGTCAGACACTGACATCTCACCAGCTGTTCGAGTGGTGTATCAGGATCTCTCATTGGGGTTTTGATTTGTAGTTCCCTCGTGATTAATTGTGCAGAGCATTCTCCCAGGTGCTTATTTGCCATCCGTGAGGAGACTTCAGACAGTTCTTGAAGGAATAGGCCTTTAGCCATGGTAAAGATACTCATTTTCTGGGGCTGGCATTGTGATGCAGGGGTTTAAGCTGCCACCTGTAACACCAGCAGCCCATGTTGGAGAACCCATTTGCATCCCATCCAGCTCCCTGCTAATGTGCCCAAGAAAGCATCAGAAGATGGCATGGGTGCTTGGACCCCTGCACCCATGTGGGAGGCCTGGATGAAGTCCCAGGCCCCTAGCTTCTGTTTGGCCCAGCCCAGGTTGTTGTGGCTATTTGGGGAGTAACCCAACATATGGAAGATCTCTCTCTCTCTCTTTCTCTCTCTTACTCCCTCTCTCCCCTTTCATTCAAATAAAATAAATAAATCTTTCTAAACTTTAAAAATAAAATACCTATCTTCCATTGAAATACCTAGGTTTGATTTCTGACTCCAGCTCCGAACTTTGGGTTTCTGCCATTGCAGATCCTGAGGAGAGAGTGGCGATGGCTCAAAAATTGAGTTCCTGCTGCCAGTGTAGAAAACGTGGGCTGCATCCCAGCCTCTGGCTTCAGGCCTGCCCAGTTCAGGTCCTTGTGGGTACCTCGGGAATGAACCAGTGGATGGGAACTCTGTCTTTCTCTTTCTCTGCCTTTCATATAAATTGATTTTTAAAGAGTTTTTTAAAGTTTCTGAAAAATACATATTATGAAAAACTACAAGAATACATGAATTTCAAAATTTGTACCAAAATAAGCTTGTTTTTTCATTCCATTTTTCCGTGAAATGTTGGGAGTACCCTACTATATATCTTTTTTTGGTGAGATGTCAAAGTATTTTGCTCATTTTAAAATTGAGTTGGGAGTGAGGCTGGCACTGTGATGTAGTGGGTAAAGCTGTTGCATGCAGAGCCAGCATATCATATGGCTGCCAGTTCAAGTCCCGGCTGTTCCACTTCCAATCCAGCTCTCTGCTGTGGCCTGGGAAAGCAGTAGAAGATGGCCCAAGGCTTTGGGCCCCTGCACCCACATGGGAGACCCAGAAGAAGCTCCTGGCTGCTGGCTTCGGATCGGTGCAGCTCTGGCCATTGTGGCCATCTGGGGAGTGAACCAGCAGATGGAAGACCTCTCTCTGTCTCTCTCTGCCTCTGTTTCTCTGTAACTCCACCTTTCAAATAAATAAATCTTTTAAAAAAAAAAAAGCTAGTTATTTACAGCCTGTCTCCCTGCAGTTTTAATCTGAGTCTGCACAGCTTAGCATCCTCCAAAGACTCGAAATTTCCCTTTAGGCATATTTCGGGCGGGGAGGGGTCTTTGCATCATTTTCGCCTCTCCTGTACCCTGCCCCATACTTTTCAAGCCCCACCTCCTCAACTCAGATCTTTGCGCCCAAATTCAGGGGGTCTGCCATGCTCTGCTTGGGTCTCCCCACTGCTCTTTGGTCCTGAAAGCTCCTTAAGCAGGAAGCCAGCAGTTGTGTGACTCATCTAATTTGTTTCTCTTCCTTCAGGGATTGCCCTGGACTGCAAATGGACAACCCTGGAAAGCAGTTGCTTCACGCATTGTGTCAAGTTTTCTAGTTGTGACAAGAGAGCAAGAGTGATGCCAGCTACTCGTTCAGGGCCAGAGGGGGAGATTCTCTTTATTGTTAAAGACATTGACACACATGGTCTCATCTTTCTTGGATGCCATTGTGCCTGGTTGTGATGCTGACTGTGTGTAAGCCAAGGTATAGACATAAAGAGAGCTAGTCTCGGGCTGGCACTGTGGCGCAGTAGGTTAATCCTCTGCCTGCAGTGATGGCATCCCATATGGGCACCAAATCCAGCGCTCTGCTATGGCCTGGGAAAGCATTGGAAGATGGCCCAATTGCTTCAATCTCTGTAAGGAGAGACCCAGAAGAAGAAGCTCCTGGCTCCTGGCTTCAGATTGGCACGGCTCTGGCTATTTTGGCCCTTGTGGGGTGACCCAGCAGAAGGAAGACATTTCTCTCTGTCTTTTCCTCTCTATCTCTCAAATAAATAAATAAATAAAATATTGAGAGAGAGAGAGAGAGAGAGAGAGAGAGAGAGAGAGAGAGAGAGAGACTGGTCTGCAGACAAAGCCACTGGGACAAATACAGCAGGAAGCAAGCATGGAAATTACTTGGGTCCTTAATGGGTGATGATACACTGAACTAACCAGCCCTGGATCTGTCCATACCTTGGAAAATTGTTGCTACATGAGAAAAAAATTTCTCGGGGCCAGTATTGTGGTGTAATGGTTAAGCCACTGCCTGCAATGCCTGAGATGGCATCCTATAAGGGTGCAAGTTCTGAACCAGCTGCTTCTGAACCAGCTCTCTGCTGTGGCCTGGGAAAGCAGCAGACGATGGCCAGAGACCTTGGGCCCCTGCACCCACATGGGAGACGCAGAAGGAGCTCCTGGCTCCTGGCTTTGGCCTGGCCCAGCCCCAGTGATTGTGGCCATCTGGGGAGTGAACCAGCGGATGGAAGAGCTCTCTCTGTGTCTTCTCTCCCTCTCTCTCTCTCTGTAACTCTGATTTACAAATAAATAAAATAAATCTTTAAAAAGAGAAGCAGAAGGGAAAAAAAACTTTGCTTAATTTTAAACCAACTACGTTGGGGTTTTGCAGTTAAAAATCATTCTAATTAATACAAATTAGAGAACTAATACAAAAATAATGCTCAGTAATTGTTATTTTAAACCATAAGTGTAGAGCATTGGTGCTGCAGAGGCAATGACATTTTCTAACTGAACGTCACAGCAAATGTAGGAGGGAGGTGGTAGTAACAACTCCTGCTTACAGATGCCAATGATGAGGCTGAGAAAACAGCCCATTTTCTAAGTTTATAAAGTTTAATCTCTGGCACAGCCAGGATCAGTCCCAGCCTTCTGTGACTTCAAAGTTACACTGCGGTTTAGTTCACCCAATATTGGTTTTCAAATCCCTGAGCTTAATCTAACTGTGCTGCTCTTCACTTAAAAGAGAAAACTGATCAATGAAAGCCAGTACCTTACAGGAAGGGGATCCGGGGCTCCCGCGTGCTAGCTCACCCAGACTTAGCAGGGGATGGAGGGATTCCCGTCTGAGTCCCCATCCCAGCCTCCCCTGCATGCCCACTCCTGCGGAAGAGCAGTGAGCTTTCTGGAGAGAGTGTCATCAGGGCTACCTGTACCTGTACCGGGGAGCATTCCAAGTCAGAGTCGGTGACACGGGAGACAGGAAACCAACATTGCAGGAGAAAAGCCCCCAAGGACCAGTGCCCTGGCGTAAAGCGCCGGCAGTGCTAGTTTAGAGTGCTAGATAGTCCCGGCTGCTCCTCTTCTGATCCAGCTCTCTGCTGTGGCCTGAGAAAGCAATAGAGGATGGCCCAAGTCTTTGGGCCCCTGCACCCACGCAGTAGACCCAAAAGAAGCTCCTGGCTCCTGGCTGTGGATCGGTGCAGCTCCGGCCATTGTGGCCAACTGGGGAGTGAACCATTGCATGGAAGATTCTCTCTCTCTCTCTCTCTCTCTCTCTCTCTCTCTGCCTCTCCTCTCTGTGTAACTCTGACTTTCAAATAAATAAATAAATCTTAAAAAAAAAAAAAAAAAAACGGCCGGCACCGTGGCTCACTAGGCTAATCCTCCGCCTTGCGGCGCCGGCACACCGGGTTCTAGTCCCGGTCGGGGCGCCGGATTCTGTCCCGGTTGCCCCTCTTCCAGGCCAGCTCTCTGCTGTGGCCAGGGAGTGCAGTGGAGGATGGCCCAAGTGCTTGGGCCCTGCACCCCATGGGAGACCAGGAGAACACCTGGCTCCTGCCATCGGATCAGCGCGGTGCGCCGGCCGCAGCGTGCCGGCCGCGGCGGCCATTGGAGGGTGAACCAACGGCAAAAGGAAGACCTTTCTCTCTCTCTCTCACTGTCTAACTCTGCCTGTCAATGGTACACGAAGGATATAAGAGGAAGACTGTGAGAGGAGAAACCTGCGATGTGTGCTGTTAGTGCACTGACACCGTAGATCTGCTAGTAAACATGCTCCTTCGTCATTCAGTCCAAGCGCAGTTTCTGAGAGCTGTTCGCAGTGAAGCGGAAGGGAGAGCGAGAACTCGGCAGCAAAACGCCCGGGCTGGCGTCCACCAGCAAGCCCCGTCTATGCGTGCCTTTGCACTGCTCAGCTCTAGTCACCTGAAGACCAGGACAGGCATACAGCTGAAAGGGCCCGTTTCTGTTCCAAACGGGTGCCTGCCCGCACAGATGCTACAGAAGAAACTGCAAGAAGTGAATGAAAACATGTTACCTACCAAGAGAGCACCTGGAGGGAGTGTGTGTGTGTGTCTGTCTGTCTGTCTGTCTGTTTTGAGAAGGTGGTGAGCCCAGAGACACAGGGAAAGAAGGAGACTCTCTCTTCTATCCTCCAACGCCAGCAACCATTGTCAGCAGCAGGAAGGAGACAAGGAGAATCTAGGCATGACGGATGGAGTAAAAAGAGCAATAAAAATTGCATCAGCTATGGACGAGAGCATGGAAAAATGAAAACATTGAGTGTGCTGTGGTGGTGGGGGGTGTGAATGATTTTTTTTAGAAATCTGTTATTTCAATGAGCACTTAAAAAAAAAAAGAGAGACATCCTGTGTTTGAAAGTCAGGAGTCTGTCTGGGTATTCCTGAGTTTCCCATTCCAGGAATTTAACTCCCTGCCCTACAGGCTGGTAGCCCTTTAAATTGATCTGAGAACAAAGAAGGGAGCCTTTGCCACATTTTAATGGCCTCCAGCTGTGGACCAGCCCTTTCCCGCCTTAGCCTCAGCCAGCCGCACCCTCAGAGCTCTCTGCTTTTGGGTGGATTGTGCTCCCTGAGGTTTGGCTGCCTCTGAGTTAGATCAGCTCCTGGAAAAATGTCACCGCGAGTGTCACCGTTGGCGGAAGCCATCTCGCCTGTAGCAGGAGGAGCCAGCCAGCTTTGCTCTGGAGGTACTCCCCTCTGGGGAGAAACCCACGCAGCACTGGCCACACACTGTGCCATCTCTCTCCTCTGCAGCTGCGGGCTGGGCGAGGACCTCCCCACGAGGCCTGAGCTGCTCTGTCCGGAAGTCCCAAGGCCTGACAGTCCCATCCAGTGGCCTACCAGGCACAGATGAGATGATGGGACACAGACCACCCTGCAGCTTGCCCTTCCCAGCATCTGGTAGGGAAGGTAGAGGAGGGATACCCATTTCAGAAATCACCAGATTCCAAGGCCTCCCCACCATGCCTCAGCAAGGAGAATTTCCATGCTGAAATTCTTATCTCCTGTATTACTCAAAGAATTAGCTATTGAACATCTAAAACTATATGAAATGTTAAGGCAGTTTCTCAAAAAGTTAAAGATTCAGTGACTGTATGATGCAGTAATCCCACTTCTGGGACTATACCCAAAGATTTGGAAATAGGAGCTCATTCAGAAATTTGTTCACCCATGTTCATCGCAGCAGTGTTCACTAGATGAAATGGAAAAGGCAGGGGGCCAGTCTTATGATGTAGCTGTGACACTGGCATTCCATGTTCTGGAGTGCTGATTTGAGTCCTGGCTGCTCCACTTCTGATCCGCCTCCCTGCTAATGCACCTGGGGAAACAGCAGAGGATGACCCACGTGCTTGGGCCCCTGCCACCCATGTGGGAGGGTAGGTATTTCGGGCTCCTGGCTCCAGCCTGGCCCCGCCCCAGCTGTTGAGGCCATTTAGAAACTGAGACAGTTGATGAAAGTTATGTCTCTCTACCTTTCAAGTAAATAAAAATTTTTAAATAAATAAATAAATAAATAAAAGGCAGAGGCAACACCAGTATCCATCAAGGGATGAATGGATAAATAAAATGTGATGCATCAGGGGTCTTCAAAAAGTTCATGGAAAATGTGAATTATGAAAAAACTGCATAGATTTTAAAAACTTTTTGCACAAAAATACTTTTTAAAAATATTTATTTTATTTATTTGAAAGGCAGAGTTTCAGAGAGAGAGAGGGAGATACACAGAGAGAGGTCTGCCATCCACTGGTTCACTTCCCAAATTGCTGCCAACAGCCCAGGCAGGGCCAGGCTGAAGCCAGGAGCCAGGAGCTTCTTCAAGGTCTCCCACAGGGGTGCAGGGGCCCAAGGACTTAGGCCATCTTCTGCTGCTTTCCCAGATGCATTAGCAGGGAGCTAGATTGGAAGTGGAGCAGCCGGGATTTGAACTTGTGTTCCTATGGGATGCCGGCATTTCAGGCAGCAGTTGAACAAATACTGTGTGGTTCAGTCCACTTGGTGTAGGTACAACAGTCAGACTAAGAGAAAGTAGAATAGGATTAACAGGGGCTGGGGTGGTGGAGAACAGGAGTTTCTGTTTGGGGGAAGCACAGTGGTGTTTTGGGGTGAGACAGCTCTGGCAGTGGGCATGGTGCTGGCTGCACAACACTGAATCTACCTAACCTCAGCAAATCGCACACTTAAAAGTGGCTAAATAGTACATTTGTGTTATATATGTCACCACAGTAAAAATGAAATGAGTAATTGATTCACTCATTCTGTCCACCAGCATTTATGGAGAAGGATTACTGGACACGGGTGCTAAGCAGAACAACGAGAGTGCGGGGGAGGCCGCCACGCCAGGCGCTAAACAGTCACGCCGCGGTCTCCGAACTGGGCCCAGAGGACCCACAGACCGGAAACCCATCAAGCTCTGCCAGAAGCCTTGGAGCTCCCTGGTCAGTCCCCCACCCCCACACCCACCCCCACCTCCCGGCCCCAGCTTCTCCACGCAGGCATGTGCCTTAATGAACACTGTGACGTCGTCCTATAATCACGGGCCCCTGTGTTCAGCTCCTCTTCCAGAGTGCTGATCTTAATCCTGACCTGCCCCTTCTTCTCGACCCTAAAGCATCAGGTGGGGCACTTGCTGCTCCAAGCGTGGGCTGAGGGCCAGCAGCTGTGGCGTCCCTGGAGCTTCGCAGACTCTCAGGCCTCGCCCAGCCCCGGGTCGTCAGAACCTGCAGCCTCACTGGAGGCCGGGGAATCTGGTGAGCACATTCCGACTTGCAACGCCCTGGCTTGGCAGTGCAGGCGGAGGGGGAGCCTGGGTTTGGGATGTGTGTCCACACTTGTGTTTGTGGAGTCCTGACCGCCCCTAGGAGGAGGCCCTGGGTGACAGCCTGGGGACCGTCTGCTCTGATTGCTCCGTCTGGCTCCAGTCTGGCCCGCAGCTTTCCTCCAAAACAGTGGCTGAACCGGGCTTTTGTGAGGAGTAGAGGAGAATGAGCTGGGCTCCAGGGAGGATTCCAGCCTGCCTGGGTGGGGCGCTTGAACAGTTGCTGCTTCTTCACATCAGATCGTATTACCAAAGCAACACTGTCACGACGAAATCCCTTACCTGGCGGGTTTCTGCACTCCAGTCAACTGTCGACTTCTTTCAAAGAACTTCAAAGACTCGTATGATTTTAAAGGTGCTTGGTTCACAAACATTTGTCAACCTTCTACTTTAATTCATTTCATGAAGAGCAAACCAAACACGGGGTGTGCTGGAGGAATCTGCTCTGCTTTGCCACCTAGGGAAAAGCCCAACCAAAATGTTGG